TCCCCCGTCCCCTGCCCCCTGTTCCCCGTCCCCGGTCCCCCGTCCCCGGTCCCCGGTCCCCGGTCCCCGGGCGCTTGTGTGGGGCTGACAATGTCATGGCCCCAGTACCCGTCGTCCGCCGGCCACCCCCCTCCCAGCTCTCGGACCCGGACCCGCAGGCCGCCGGGCTCTCCTGGCCCAGGCCCAGGTGGGACCTACCGAGGTGGCGGTAAGGTGCGGGCGCGGCAGGCGGTGCCGGGGCGGTGGGTGGTACGGGCACGGCGGGCGGGCGGGCGGGCGCGGACGATGCAGGAGGCAGGACTGAGCAACCTGGGCAGGTGGGGCTGGCGCGGCGCCTAAATAGGCCGGAGCCCCGCCCCGCGCCTCCGGCCAGGGCCGCCGGGCGCCGCTCATTGGACGGGGCTCCTGCCGGCGGCAGGGCTCCCGGCACCAGGGATTTGCATACTCGGTGCCGCTTGGCCCGGCCCCGACCCGGGATGCTGGGAAGTCAGGCCGGGCCGGTTTAATGATTGCCAGGCGCTGCCCGCGCCCTCGGGCTGGCACGGGCACTGGCGGGCGGCGCAGCCGGAGGGCCGGCCCCCTCCGGCTCAGAAGTGCCGCCGGGGGGGGGGGGGCTGGTGAGGGAGGGGCAGCCTCTGGGGGTCTGGGGGGCTGCGTGGGGAGAGAGGACCCCGGGGTTCAGGCGCCCCGACAGAGGTCCCCCAGGAGCCCGAGGGCCCGTTTGCCGACACCCGTTTTCCCCGCCGGCCAGAACCCGTCCAGGCAGCAGAACCAGAGTAGCCATGTCGTCCAGGCCAGCCCCGCGGCCCGCCCCCAGCCCGCAGCCGGGGCGTGGACGGTGCAGGAACCGCCGGCTGCATTTAGTCCTCCTCCACCTCGTCACGGACACCATCACCGTCACCAGGGCACCGGTCTGCTGTCTCCTCAGTGCGGCTCCCCTGCCCATCACTGCACCTCTGCTGCCCTCTCCTGGCCGGAGCCCCCGTACCGGTGTCCCTGCCGGGCCGGAGCCCCCCCCCCCCCCCCCGTACCGGTGCCCCTGCCGGGCCAGAACCCCCCCCCCCCCCCGTACCGGTGTCCCTGCCAGCGGAGCCCCCCCGTACCGGTGTCCCTGCCGGGCCGGAGACCCCCCCCCCGTACCGGTGTCCCTGCCGGGCCGGAGACCCCCCCCCGTACCGGTGTCCCTGCCGGGCCGGAGCCCCCCCCCGTACCGGTGTCCCTGCCGGCTACTAGCCAGATCGCCGATACCGGTGTCCCTGCCGGGCCGGAGCCCCCCCCCCGTACCGGTGCCCCTGCCGGGCCAGAGCCCCCCCCCCCCGTACCGGTGTCCCTGCCGGCTACTAGCCAGATCGCTGATACCGGTGTCCCTGCTGGCTATCAGCCGGAACCCCCCCCCCCCCCCCCCGTACCGGTGACCCTGCCGGACCGGAGCCCTCCTACCAAGGTGGTGCCCGTTGTTTAAAAGCCAAAGGAGGATTTGTCGTGTTTACCTTGAATCTAGTCCCTGTTCATTTTTTTAAAAAAATATATATTTTATTGATTTTTTACAGAGAGGAAGGGAGAGAGATAGAGAGCTAGAAACATCGATGAGAAACATCGACCAGCTGCCTCCTGCACGCCCCTCACCGGGGATGTGCCCACAACCAACACACATGCCCTTGGCCGGAATCGAACCCGGGACCTTTCAGTCCGCAGACCGACGCTCTATCTGCTGAGCCGCACCGGCTTCGGCCGTAGGTTGTTTTTTTAAAATGTATTTTTATTGATTTCAGAGGAGAGGGGGAGGAGCAGCGAGGAGGGGGAGGGAGAGGGAGAAACATCCATGATGAGGGAGAATCATGGAGCCGCTGCCTCCTGCTCGCTGGGGATGGAGCCCGTAACCCGGGCATCCCCGATGGGGACTGAACCGTGACCGCCTGGCTCATGGCCCACCCACTGAGCCACCCAGGCCGGGCGGTTATCCCCACTTTGCAGCTCAGAGCCTAGGCCACGGACGGGGCGCCAGGCCCCGCCCCCAGCTCCGAGGGCTCGGTGATGTCCCCGAGCCTGTGGTTCTCTCTAGGTCCTGCCAGAGCTGGGTGGCTCAGTGGTTAGCGTCGGCCTGACCACACCAGAATAGCAGGTTCGATTCCCCGTCGAGGGCATGTACCTTGGTTGTGGGCACATCCCCAGTGTGTGTGTGTGTGGCGGAGCCTGCAGGAGGCAGCCAATCCATGATTCTCTCATTGATGTCTCTCTCTCTCTCTCCCTTCCTCTTTGAAATCAATAAAAATATTTAAGAAATAAGTAAAAATGAAAGCAAGGCGGTTTGAACTCCAGCGCCTGCCTCTTGAAGGAGCTGTGATGTGGCCCGGCTCCCGCCCTCACCGCCCAGCGCCGGCGCCCGGGGCCAAGTGCGGCCGGAGGGTGCAGGGTGCAGCCTTCTTCAGAGGGGAGTGTCCCGCCCGCCCCCGCTGCCCTCTGACCCGCAGCACAAGGACAGTCCAGCCCAGGACCCGGCTCCCCCGTTGTGCTGGGAGCTGCTGGGCTGGGAGAGGGGGCTCAGTCCCCGGTCTCCCCACGGGGCTGGGCTGGGAGAGGGGGCTCAGTCCGGTCTCCCCACGGCCGGCCGGGAGCCAGGCTCTGGACTTTCCCGGCGCCTGGGGGGCCTCCGAGCAGAGCCCGAGGCGGCTCACCCTCCACCGTCACCAGGAATGTGGCAGAACCAGCTCCTGCACCCGCTCCCAGGGGAGGGCGCCGGGGCTCAGGCGGCCTGGCCCTCGTGGGGCTGCCCCTCCCTCCAAGGCTATTTTTTTAATGTTTTTATTGACGTCACAGAGGAAGGGAGAGGGAGAGGGAGAAACATCCATGAGGAGAGGGAACCATGGGCCGGCTGCCTCCTGCCCGCCCCCCACGGGATGGAGCCCGCCACCCGGGCCTGTGCCGAGCCGCCGGGCCCAGGGTTCATGCCGTCGTAGCCGGTGATGCTGTGAAATGGTGGAAAGGCCCAGGACAGAGCCTTGGAGGGTCGGGGGGGGGGGGGGGGGGCGGGGAGAAGCTTCCGGAACAGAGGTCAGGGGGGCTGTGGGGCAGGGACGGGCCTCCTGATGAAAGAGCCACATGGGTCAGGGCCAGCGAGCGGGTGCGGAGCGTCAGGACAGCCTGGAGGCCGGCCTGCAGCCCGGAGGCCGGTGGCCTCGCACTGAGCTCCGCGCGGACAGACCGCCCACCGCCCGGCGGTGACCTGGTCGTAGTCCGTGCTGGCTCCTCCCAAGCCCGGGCAGGACGGGGAGACCTGAGCTGACCACCTTCCCAAGGACAGAGCCACGGCCGGACAGAGCCACAGCCGGACAGAGCCACGGCCGGACAGAGCCGGACAGAGCCACAGCCAGAGCCACAGCCGGCAGAGCCACCGCCGGACAGAGCCACGGCCGGACAGAGCCGGACAGAGCCACAGCCGGACAGAGCCACGGCCGGACAGAGCCGGACAGAGCCACAGCCGGACAGAGCCACGGCCGGACAGAGCCGGACAGAGCCACAGCCAGAGCCACCGCCGGACAGAGCCCCAGCTGGACAGAGCCACGGCCGGACAGAGCCACAGCTGTGCACAGCTGGATAGAGCCACAGCCGGTAGAGCCACAGCTGACAGAGCCACAGCCGGGCAGAGCCCCAGCCGGCAGAGTCACAGCTGGCAGAGCCACAGCCGGGCAGAGCCACCGCTGGACAGAGCCACAGCTGGCAGAGCTACAGCCGGCAGAGTCACAGCTGGGGCAGAGCAGGCTCAGGCTCAGGCTCAGGCTCAGGCTCAGGGGTGCCCTGCATGCAAGAACGGCAACTTAAGTATGTATTTAGCCCTGGCCGTTGTTGCTCAGTGGACAGAGCGTCGGCCTGCAGCCCAAAGGGTCCCGGGTTCGATTCTGGTCAAGGGTGTGGACCTCGGCTGCAGGCTCCTCCCTAGCCCGGGGCCCAGGCCAGGGCGCGTGCAGGAGGCGGCCCATCGAGATGTTTCTCTCTTGTAGATGTTTCTCTCCTCTCTCCCTCCACATCAACGGGAAAACATCCTCCGGCGAGGATTAGCAAGAAAGAATTTAAACATTTATCTGCAGCCCTTCCCTCCCCGCCCCGCCCCCCTCCCCCCCAGGACTGGTTAGAGGCTGGATCCCCACGTGGAGGCCGGGGCCAGAGCCGGTCACCAGCCGTGAGGTCAGCGGCGAGGCCCCGGGGCGGGAGGAGGCGCCGAAGGACAAATAAAAGGCACGTCCACACGTCAGCGGCACGGACGAGGGGCTGAGGGACCGAGGGGCCGAGGGGCCTCCCGGCGGGGAGTGCGGGGACCGGGTGCTGCAGCCAGAGCTCCCGGGGGACGAGACCCTGGCCCTCGGGGGCGCCCCAGGGACCGTCCGGGACGCCTGCACGGGGGGGGGGGGGGGGGGGGGGGGGAGACAAGAAGGAGAAGGAATCTCGAAGCCCCTCGGCCCACAACTAACTCACTCGCCCGTCACGATGAAAGGTTTATTAAAACGCAGCTTCGCCCTGAGAACAGAGCGCCGAGAACCGGCACGAGGGCCCGGCCGGCGGGGCTCCCTGGCGGAGCGTCGACCTAGGGACCAGGAGGTCAGGGTTCAATTCCCGGTCAAGGGCACAGGCCCGGGTGGCGGGCTCCATCCCCTGAGGGGGGGTGTGTGTGCGGTGCAGGAGGCAGCCCGTCCATGATGCTTCTCTCTCATCGTGGATCTTCCTCTCTCCCTCTCCCTTCCTCTCCTTCTTTAAAAAAATCATTTAAAAACATATTCTTTTTAAAAATCAGCCAACGGGGAACAGATCCTCTGCTCTCCCCCAGCCCCACGGAGCAGCCCGCACTGAGGCCGTGGGGGGTCTCTGGTCTCGGGGTCCAGAGCGGCCCCCACGAGTCACAGACTCGGGCCGGACACCAGACCGCCGAGGGAGCGCCGGGCGGAGTGTTCCGGAAGCCGGCACGGGCGGCGCGGGACGTGGGGGGGGGAGGGGGGACAGGACAGCCCCTAGCTGGCCTGGGGCGCCAGGATCTGCTGCACGTAGTGGACCACGTTGCTGTGGAGCTGGGGGGCCGTGGCCGCAAAGGTCTCCTTGGCGAGGGCCCGGGCGGCCTCGCTGCCGGCCATCATGGCGTGGTACAGTGGCAGCGTGTACTTCTGCTTCCCCTGCGGACACATGGACACACGTGTCCACACGTGTGCACACGTGGGCGTGGCCGCGCGGCCGGCTCTGGGGTCGCCCGGCCCCCGCCCGGGCCGGTGCCCACAGGCCGGCCGGTGAGGGGCGTCCCAGACGCGGGCATCCACTCGGGTCCGAGGGCCCCACGGAAGCCGGCGCTCACCCCGATCCGGGCAGCAGGGGGCCCCCCAGAGGCTCAGAGCAAAGAGGGGGGCAGAGGGGAGAGCCCAGGACCCGGCCCCGCCAGTCGGGCTCCGGGGACACAGCTCTGCAGGGTCCCCGAGGTCACCCAACCCGTCCACGTGTCTCTCCGCTATCTCACAGCCGTGTTCCTCTCGGTCCCTCCCCTTCCCTGCCGTGTTCTCTAAAAACAATGTAAGAATGTCCTCGGGTGAGGATTAACCAAAAAGAAGAAGAAGAACAAGAAGCAAAAACAAAAACAACCCAGGACCCTGCCTGAACCGGTGTGGCTCGGCGGAGAGAGCATCGGCCTGCGGACTGGAAGGTCCCGGGTTCGATTCCGGTCAAGGGCATGGACCTTGGTTGCGGGCACATCCCCAGTTGGGGGCTGTGCAAGAGGCAGCTGATCGATGACTCTCTCTCATCGATGTTTCTAACTCTCTATCCCTCTCCCTTCCTCTCTGTAAAAAGTCAATAAAATATATTAAAACAAAAACAAAAAACAGCCGAAACCAGTTTGGCTCAATGGATAGAACGTCGGCTTGGGGACTGAAGGGTCCCGGGTTCGATTCCGGTCAAGGGCATGGACCTTGGCTGCGGGCACATCCCCAGTTGGGGCTGTGCAAGAGGCAGCTGATCGATGACTCTCTCTCATCGATATTTCTAACTCTCTATCCCTCTCCCTTCCTCTCTGTAAAAAAAATCAATAAAATGTATTAAAAACAAAGAAAACCCAGGACCCAAAGGCACACAGTGTGAGTCCCCGAGTCCCCGGACCCAGAGCCGCAGGGGCTGGGCCTCCCACCTGGACTCGCGGGCAGCAGAGGCCCTGGCTGGTGCCCGGCGGGCGGCCCCGGGGGCTGGGAGGCAGCCACAGGCCCGCGGGCAGGGAGACGGCCTCCGTCCCTCCCCGCCGCCTTGCCCTTGGCTGAGGGCAGGCCTCCCCTCCCCCTCCTGCCTCCCCCGCTCCGGGCGAGGGCGCGGACCCACCTGGCTCTGCAGGAAGTCCCGGACCTTCCCAAAGTCCTCCCTGAGGTCGTTCCTGAGCGCGATCTGGCCCCAGCGCAGCCGCAGCTCGGCGTTGCGGGCGCCCGAGAGCTGGGGGTACGTGGCCCCCAGCGTCCGCACGTTCCCTGGGGGGGGGGAGAGGGGGCGTGCCTTCCTGAGTACCTGCCGGCGTCCTTACCCTCCGTGTGTGTTTCTTGCTGACTTCAGAGGGAGCGGGAGGGAGGGAGGAGCATCAGTGATGCCCGGCCCGCGTGGCTCCGGGGCTGAGCGCCGACCGGTGAGCTGGGAGGTCGTGGTTCGGCTCCCGGGCAGGGCACAGGCCCGGGCGGCCGGCTGGGTCCCGGGTGCGGGGTGCGCAGGAGGCAGCTGCCCGTGATTCTCTCTCTCTCCCCGTAATCAATGAGAATGTGTTTGGGGGAGCGGGTGGGGGAGGGGAGGAACCGCCCCGCCCCCCCTCACCGGCCGGCAGGGGGGACTTCTGCAGGATCTGGTCCAGGAAGTACACCAGCTGGTAGGTCCTCCAGGAGGCGATGTCCACGGCCTCGATGGCCGGCACGTCCAGCTCCGGGGCCGCCCACAGCCGGGCCAGCTCCTCTGCAGGCTTCATGAGGGCGTCGCCGGCAGACAGGTCCGGCAGGTACGGCGGCCAGCCCGGCGTGTTCAGCCAGCGGTCGAACTCCAAGCCTGGAGACCGGACGGCGTCAGGAGGTGCTGACCCCGGCTCCGCGGCCCCACCCCGGCTCGGCCGCCCACCAGCGGGAGCCGAGCCGGTGCTTTGCTCCACGCCTGTTCTGTGTGAGCCTCGGGCGCGGTGAGGACCGAACACGCAGGCACAGGGGAGCTCTGCCCGTGGCCGGCAGCGTGACCAACCCTCACTGGCCGTGGGGGCTCATGACCTGGGGGCAGACGTGGGTGCTTGGCGCGACGGGGGGCTCCAGGTTCCAGCTGCAGGGGCCCGGGTCCAGCCCCCTCAGCACCCCCTCTGCGATGGAAGGGCCCCCCCCCCCCCCTCTCGGGCAGCACGGGGCCTTCCCCCCTGCAGGAGGCAGCTCCCAGCTTGGCTCCCAGGCAGGGCTGCGGCCCCTCCAGCCCCCACTCCTCCCCGCAGGGCTCCGGGCCCAGCCCAGGGTGTGTGTGAGCCAGTGGTCCGGGTTCCAGGAAAAGGAGGAGGGAGGAACCTAGAGAGAGCCTGGGGCCTGGTCTGCTCCCCAGCGCCACCTGCCGGGTGACCTGGTGCAGCGCCTGGTAGGACAGCGGGTGGTCAGACAGCCCTGCTGCAGGGGCGGGGGAAGGGGGGGCCGGGCTGCCCACCTGGGGTGGCGTCCACCTTCTTCTGCTTCAGCTCCGGGAAGTACTCCAGGTAGAAGTGCAGCAGGTCCTCGGCCACAATGCTTTGGAACTTAAACTCACTGACGTAGGCCTGGGGGCGGGGGGGGGGCCTGAGTCCCAGGAGGTGCCCTGTGCCCGGCCCCGGCCAGCGCCCGCCCGGCCCCCGGCCCCCGGCCAGCGCCCGCCCGGCCTCCCACCAGCTCCTGCCAGGCCCCCCAGCCTCCCACCAGCTCCCGCCCGGCCCCCCGGCCCCCCACCAGCGCCCGCCCTCTCCCTGGCCCCCCAACCCCTGGCCAGCTCCCACCTGGCCCCCCAACCCCCAGCCCCCGGCCAGCGCCCGCCCTCCCCTTGAACCCTGGCCCCCCACCAACTCCCGCCTGGCCTCCCGGCCCCCCACCAGCGCCCGCCCTCCCCCTGGCCCCCCAACCCCTGGCCAGCTCCCACCCGGCCCCCAACCCCCAGCCCCCGGCCAGCGCCCGCCCTCCCCTTGACCCCCTGGCCCCCCACCAGCGCCCGCCCGGCCCCCCGGCCCCCCGACCCCCGGCCAGCTCCCACCCGGCCCCCCACCAGCTCCTACCCGGACCCCCGGACCCCCACCAGCGCCCGCCCTCCCCCTGGCCCCCCGACCCCCGGCCCCCCACCAGCGCCCGCCCGGCCCACGGTCCACGCCCGGCCCCAGCACCTTGAGGAAGGCGTCGAACTGGTCCTGGCCGCCCGCCCGGTGGGCCAGGTAGGACACGAAGCAGTAGCCCTTCTCGTAGGGGGTCTCGTTGTAGGTGTCGTCCGGGTCCACGCCTGGGGGACGCGGGGCGGGCTGAGCCTCCCAGCCCCCCCCACCCGTCCCCTTCGCCGGCCGTGGTGGCCCCGGGCTCCGGGCCCAGCGCCGACGGGAGAGGCCCAAGCAGCGCCTCCCCCCCCCGCCCCCCCGGGGACCGCGAGAGACAGGACCCGGACCCCCAACCTCCGCAGGCCCCTCAGAGGGACCTTAAGGGGCCAGTGACCGTGGAGTCAAGAGGAGAACAAAGAAAGCAGCCCAGCCCGGGCCGGCGAGGCTCCGGCTCCCTGGACAGGGCGTCGGCCGGCAGAAGGAAGGGTCCCGGGTTCGATTCCCGCCAAGGGCACTTGCCCGGGTTGCGGGCTGGATTCCCCCGTGCCCCCCCTCACCCCCCAGTAGAGGAGTGCAGGAGGCAGCCCATCAACGATTCTCTCCTTGTTGATGTTTCTATCTCCCTTCCTTTCTGAAATCAACGAAACAATATTTTAAAAACGTCAGTCCTGCCAGCCGGAGGGCGGGCGTGGCTCCGTGGCTGAGGGCTGACCTCTGACCCAGGAGGTCACGGCTCGGCTCCCGGCCAGGGCATGTGTTCCCGTTGGAGCAAGATACCCAGTGGAGGGCAGACCTGCAGGCGGCAGCCGACCCCGATTCTCTCTCATCGCGGATGCGTCTCTCTCTCCTCTCCCTTCCTCTCTGACATCGATAAAACAACAGTTTAATGAAAAGAGTGGCCCTGACCGGATAGAGCGTCCGCCTGCGGACTGGAGGGTCCCGGGTTCGATTCCGGGCAAGGGCACGTTCCTTGGTGGCGGGCACATCCCCGGTGGGGGGTGCGCAGGAGGCAGCTGATGGGTGTTTCTCTCTCGTTGATGTTTCTAGCTCTCTCTGTCCCTCTCCCTTCCTCTCTGTGGAAAATCAACAAACATATTTTTAAAAAATAAAAAGAGAGACCAGGCCCCGCTGGCCCAGGCGGCGGGACAGTCCGGGGGACCACAGGCCCGGATGCAGGGACCCCCAGGACTGAGGCCGGGCTGCAGGGCTCGGCCCCGCCCCGGGGGCGGGTCCTGGGGCCCGCCGGCCAATCCCATCGGGGGAGGGGTGTCAGGGGCGGGGCCTGGACCTGGCTCGATCTTCACCCGCAGCTTGTTGAGCGGGTGCTGCTCCCCGGTGACGTCCATGTGCTGGCGGAGCAGCGCGCGGCCCGCGGCGGCCTCCAGGCAGGTGTAGGCGGCGCCTGCGGGAGAGGGAGACCAGGGCCCAGGTCAGCCCTTCCGGCCGGGAGAGCGGGGACCAGCACAGTCAGTCCTCAGGCCGGGAGAGCGGGGACCAGCACACAGTCAGCCCTCAGGCCGGGAGAGCGGGACCAGCACACAGTCAGCCCTCAGGCGGGAGAGCGGGGACCAGCACACAGTCAGCCCTCAGGCCGGGAGAGCGGGACCAGCACACAGTCAGCCCTCCGGCCGGGAGAGCGGGACCAGCACACAGTCAGCCCTCAGGCCGGGAGAGCGGGGACCGAGCACAGTCAGCCCTCAGGCCGGGAGAGCGGGACCAGCACACAGTCAGCCCTCAGGCCGGGAGAGCGGGGACCAGCACACAGTCAGCCCTCAGGCCGGGAGAGCGGGGACCAGCACACAGTCAGCCCTCAGGCCGGGAGAGCGGGACCAGCACACAGTCAGCCCTCAGGCCGGGAGAGCGGGGACCGAGCACAGTCAGCCCTCAGGCCGGGAGAGCGGGGCCCAGGTCAGCCCTCAGCAGGGAGAGCGGGACCAGCACACAGTCAGCCCTTAGGCCGGGAGAGCGGGGACCAGCACACAGTCAGCCCTCAGGCCGGCGGTCCTGCTGGCAGGGGACCCGGAAGCGGGAGGTCGTGTGTGTGGTGTGTGTGTGTGTGTGTGTCTCTGTGTGTGTGTGTGTCTCTCTGTGTGTGTGAGTGTGTCTCTGTGTGTCTCTGTGTGGTGTGTGTGTGTGTTTCTGTGTGTGTGTGTGTCTCTGTGTGTCTCTGTGTGGTGTGTGGTGTGTGTCTCTGTGTGGTGTGTGTGTGTGTCTCTGTGTGTGTGTGTGTGTGTGTCTCTGTGTGTGTGTCTCTGTGTGTCTCTGTGTGGTGTGTGTGTGTGTTTCTGTGTGTGTGTGTGTGTGTCTCTGTGTGTCTCTGTGTGGTGTGTGGTGTGTGTCTCTGTGTGGTGTGTGTGTGTGTCTCTGTGTGTGTGTGTGTGTGTGTGTGTCTCTGTGTGTGTGTCTCTGTGTGTCTCTGTGTGGTGTGTGTGTGTGTTTCTGTGTGTGTGTGTGTGTGTCTCTGTGTGTCTCTGTGTGGTGTGTGGTGTGTGTCTCTGTGTGGTGTGTGTGTGTGTCTGTGTGTGTGTGTGTGTGTGTGTGTGTCTCTGTGTGGTGTGTGGTGTGTGTCTCTGTGTGGTGTGTGTGTGTGTCTCTGTGTGTGTGTGTGTGTGTCTCTGTGTGTGTGTGTCACTGTGTGTGTGTGTCTCTGTGTGTGTGGTATGTATGATATGTGTGGTGTGTGGTGTGTGTCTCTGTGTCTGTGCGTGTGTGGTGTCTGTCTGTGTGTCTGTGTGCTCGCGCGCGCGCCGCCGCTCACCGTAGAGCCGCGAGGAGAGGCGCCGCTGGGCGTACATGGTGAAGCCCTCGTTGAGCCAGAACTCGCTCCAGCTGGCGTTGGTGACCAGGTTCCCGAACCAGCTGTGCGCCACCTCGTGGATGATGACGTCGGCCAGCGAGCGGTCGCCGGCCAGCAGGCAGGGCGTGACGAAGGTCAGGCAGGGGTTCTCCATGCCGCCGAAGGGGAAGGAGGGCGGCATGAAGAGCACGTCGTACCTGCCGGGGGACGGGGGGGGGTGAGGCCGGCTCCGGCTCCGGCTCCCCGCCCCCCCTCCTCCCGTCCTCAGCCCCACGGCTTGCTGGGACCCCCAAACGCCCCGAAACCTGTCCCCCCTTCTGCTTCCAAGCAGCACCCCCAAGCTCGCGGGGGGCCTCGGGGCCACCGCTCTCTCTTTATTAATAAAATGTCTTTACTGAGCTCATAGGTGGGCGCTCAGCCTGAGCCAGGCTGGCGGCTGGGAAGCTGCTCCGAGGAGCCGGGGTGCGGCAGCTTCCAGCAGATGGGGGGGTGGGGTGGGGGGGGTGGGGGGTGGAAGGGGGGGTGGGGGGGGAGCTGGCAAAGGCCCCGCCCTCCGAACTCCGCCGGGAACGGTCACCGCTCTGCACAGGGACAGGGTCTGGCCCGGCCCCCGCCCCCTGGACGGGGCGCCCTGCTCCGGGGCAGAGGGGGCTGGGGAGCCGCCGCCGGCCCGGGGCCTCACCTGCCCCACACGTAGGGGCCGAAGAGCTCCTCCCCGGCGGCCAGGAACTGCTCGATCACCCCGTCGTACTCCGCCCGGGCGGCCTCCACCACGCAGGGCTCCGCCCACACCCGGCTCCTGGGGACGGCAGGCAGAGGCACGGCTCGCAGCCCCGGAGCACCGCCTGGCCCCGGGCCGACAGTCAGAGCCTCCGGGCCGAGCAGGGCTCAGGCGACCCAGCCGCCGGGAATGGGGGGCAGGGGGACAGGGCACGGGGCACGGGGATGGGGGGACAGGGGGACGGGGCACGGGGATGGGGGGGCAGGGGGACAGGGCACGGGGATGGGGGGACAGGGGGACGGGGCACGGGGATGGGGGGACAGGGGGACAGGGCATGGGGATGGGGGGACAGGGGGACGGGGCACGGGGATGGGGGGACGGAGCACGGGGATGGGGGGACAGGGGGACAGGGCACGGGGATGGGGGCACGGGGCACGGGGATGGGGGGACAGGGGGACGGGGCACGGGGATGGGGGGACAGGGGGACGGGGCACGGGGATGGGGGGACAGGGGGACAGGGCACGGGGATGGGGGGACAGGGGGACAGGGCACGGGGATGGGGGGACAGGGGGACAGGGCACGGGGATGGGGGGACAGGGGGACGGGGCACGGGGATGGGGGTTCAGGGGGACGGGGCACGGGGATGGGGGGACGGAGCACGGGGATGGGGGGACAGGGGGACAGGGCACGGGGATGGGGGGACAGGGGGACGGGGCACGGGGATGGGGGGACGGAGCACGGGGATGGGGGGACAGGGGGACAGGGCACGGGGATGGGGGGACAGGGGGACAGGGCACGGGGATGGGGGGACAGGGGGACAGGGGGACAGGGCACGGGGATGGGGGGACAGGGGGACGGGGCACGGGGATGGGGGGACAGGGGGACAGGGGGACGGAGCACGGGGATGGGGGACAGGGGGACGGGGCACGGGGATGGGGGGCTGGCTCCTACCTGGGCCCCACCTCGGCCGAGACCAGGTCCCCGATGGCCAGCGCCACGAGGTAGGAGGGGATGGGGTGGCTCATGCGGAAGAAGGTGGTGTGTGGCCCTCGCTGCTCCCACGTGTCCGCGCTCATCACCGCGGTGAAGCCCTCGGGGACCTGGGGGCGAGGGGCCGTCGCTGAGGGACCGGCCACCTGCGGGGCCCCCGTCCCCGCCCCCGCCCCGCTTGCTCTACACTAAGGGGATTCAGCCCGGCCAGCCTGCCTCCTAGGGCCCCGAAGGTCAGGGTTCGATTCCCGGTCGGGGCACAGGCCCGAGATTCGGGCTCCATCCCCAGTGGGGGGGTGCGGGAGGCAGCCGGACGGTGATCCTCGCTCATCACGATGTTACACTCTCTCTCTCTCTCTCTCTCTCTCTCTCTCTCTCTCTCTCTCTCTCTCTCGGAAATCAGTAAGGACAGTTAGATGAGGGGACGGGGCAGGGAGGTTCCTGAGGCGGGGAGCCTCTCCTGGGGGTGTCGGACTCAGCACCCTCGGCCCGGGCAGCCCCACCTGGACGGTGTTGGGCAGAGCCCTCGGCCGGGCGCCCTCACCTGGACGAGGGCGGAGTAGGGGCACTTGACGGCGGGCGTGTCGAAGCAGGGGAAGAAGGCGCGGTTCAGCACGGCCTGGCCCTGCGTGTACACGAACGGCTTCTCCTTGCCCGCCGTCTGCTCGGGGGCCAGCCAGCACACCTGCGGGAGGGCCGGGCGCTTCAGAACTGACCCCCCTCTTAACCCCAGCTCAGTCCCGCCAGGGCGGAGGGGCGGAGGGAGAGGTCCCAGCCATCCCCCCTCCTCCCCTGAGGCTGAGGGCTCTGGCTGGGACCCCCTCTCCTCCTGCGGGGCCCACCCACCCTGGCACCCACAACCCCGGCGCAGCACCCACTTCCCGGGGCAGGCACCTCAGCGGGCCCGCCTCTCCCCCAGGCCTAGCCTCTGCCCCTGTCCCCCTGTCTCCTCCCATGTCCTTCTCATGGGCCTGCGGACCAAAGGGACCCGGGTTCGATTCCCGTCAAGGGCACAGGCCCGGGTTGCAGGCTCGATCCCCAGTAGGGGGCATGCAGGAGGCAGCCGATCCCCGATTCTCATCATCGATGGTCCCCTCTCTCCTCCCTTCCTCTGAAGTCAATAATATATATATATATATATATATATATATATATATGATATATATATATTTAAAGTATCCTTAAAAAAACAAAAACTGCCGAAACCAGTTTGGCTCAGTGGATAGAGCGTCGGCTTGGGGACTGAAGGGTCCCGGGTTCGATTCCGGTCAAGGGCATGTACCTTGGTTGTGGGCACATCCCCAGTGGGGGGTGTGCAAGAGGCAGCTGATCGATGACTCTCTCTCATCGATGTTTCTAACTCTCTACCTCTCTCCCTTCCTCTCTGAAGTCAATAAAAATATATATATATATACATACATATATATACAAATAAATATATATACATATATACACAAATAAATATATATACATACATATATACAAATAAGTAAATATATATAATGTTTAAAGTATCCTTAAAAAACGAAAACCACAGAACTGTACTTGAACTCGGGACGGGAAAGCAGAGCCTCGTAAGCGGGAAGTTGTCTGTGAGTCTCCGTTCTGAGTGCACTTCGCCCGATTCTGCATTGTTTTCCCTTCAGCCTTCAGCCCGGGGCCAACGGGAATGACCCCCCCCCCACGCCCCGTCTCCACCTGCAGCAGGAAGTCCCCGGGCATCCCAGCCAGCGCCGTGGGGGGCGGCGGGCACGCTGGCGCCCAATGCCACGGGGAATTTGGGAAAGGACCCAAATTCCAGGAAGTGTCAAGAGAAAGCGAAACTTTGTGGATGGGCCTTGGCTCGAGCAAGATTTGGAGGGCGGAGAGGAAGGAAGGAAGGAAAGAAGGAAGGAAGGGAGGGAGGGAAGAAGGGAGGGGCGGCCTGGGCAGGTGCCAAGAGGGCTCTGAACACAGAGGCACTGGGGGCCTATTTCAGAGAGGCCCAGGGACACCCATGGATGTGCTGGGTGTTTGTGAGTGTTAACGAGACCCCGGCAGAGATGGAGAGAGCAGAAGCAGCCCTGCCTCAGCCAGGCGACCGGCTCAGCACCAAACAGCCACGTTCCCGCCGACACCACGGACCCTCCATGGGACGGGACAACATGGCCCTGAGACTCGATTCTGCCATAAACCTACAACGGCTGTCAAAACCCCACACCCCAGCCTGGTGATGAGAAAAACCTGAGGCGAATCCCAGCAGAGGGACCTCCTACGACACACCTGACCGGCACTCAACGCCGTCCGGGTCGCCAAAAGCAAGGCGCATCTGGGAAACGGTACAGGGGAGAGGGCAGCTCCATGGGCTGGACACTGAGTAACGGATCAGGAAGTCTGAGCAAGCTGCAGCCGCCAGCGGATACAATGTATCAGCACGGAGCTCTGGCTGCTACAATGTATCTCCGTGTGAAAGGCTCCCAGGTGGAACTGCTAGTGTGTGTGTGTGTGTGGGGGGGGGGGGAGATATGTGAAAACTACCATCTGCTCAGTTTTTCTGTTCATCTAAACTTTTAAAAAATAAATTCTATTCATGAAAAAAAAATGAAGGCGTTGCCAAAACCCGTGTGGCTCAATGGATAGAGCATCGGCTTGGGGACTGAAAGGTCCCGGGTTCGATTCCGGTCAAGGCCACATGCCTTGGTTGCGGGCACATCCCCAGTGGGGGGTGTGCAAGAGGCAGCTGATCGATGATTCTCACTCATCGATGTTTCTAACTCTCTATCCCTCTCCCTTCCTCTCTGTACAAAATCAATAAAATATATATTTTTTAAAAAAGAAAAGAGAACGGAGGAGCAGGCGATGACTACCCCACAGAAAGAGTCCGCAGTCCAGGAGAGGCACAGCCTCTGGGATTAAGGTGCGAGGCCTCTCCCGGACGGGGCCGAGGAGGAGCGAACACAAGTGCCCTCTAGGGAGCCCTTCCCGGGGCAAAGGACAAGCTGCAGAGCGAGCATCTCTATCACCACCCGAAACTGCAGCGTCAGCGGATACAATGTATCGGCACGGAGCGCCGGCTGCTACAATGTATCTCCGGCTGCTACAATGTGTCTCCGGCTGCTACAATGTATCTCCGGCTGCTACAATGTGTCTCCGTGTGAAAGGCTCCCAGGTGGACCTGCTAGTGTGTGGGGAAGTGTGTGAAGCTATCATTCTCAGGTGCCTAACATGCTACCCTAAGGCCCATTTATTCCCTGAGTGGGGAGAGGGACACAGAACTGCTCCAAGGGCAAAGGGCAAAAGGCAAACGACGGGGAAGCAGAGAAACCACTCGGTCCCAGGCAGCCAGCCCCTGGGGAGCCCACACCCTCCTCCCCCTTTTCCAGAGAACCCACTGGTTTTCCTGCCCCGACAGGTGCCAGCCCCAGAACTCCCATCCTCAGTCCCAAAGCTTGTCCCCTCTCCCTTCAAGATTTAGGAGCCAACCAACAGTGAGAAGGCCACGGTCTTCACCCTCAAAAAGTCTGACTTTGAAATCCTTTTGTTAATGGAAACCAGGACTTCCCAGAAGTCCACGCAGGTCATGACCCCCGAGGCCCTGACCACCCGAGTCAGCACGGATTGGGGGAGGGGGGGGGCTGGTCACCAGCCGCCCGCAGGCAGAAACCAACGGGCCCAGCGCCCCGGGACATCCAGTTCCGTTTGGAACCCACACGACAGGGTTCCTTCCACCGGCAGAAACGGAACTGGACACGCGGGTCCCGGGAGGGGCTGCCGGGGAGGAAGCCAGGGCGGCCTGCCTGGAGGAGGAGGCGGAGGGCAGGGGGCGCGGCGGCGCGAGGGGGCTGGACGGCGGGACTCTCCTCCTCTCCCTCTGGGGCCCCCGGGAACTCACCCCGGGCCCGGCGTCGCCCACGCGGTAGGTGAGCAGCACCTGGAGGCGCTCGCCCGCCGGCAGCGGCCGCGGGAGGCGCAGGCACAGCGCGCAGCCGTAGCGCGCGAAGGGCCGCGTGTGGAAGCCCACGGGCTCCTCGGGGCCGGGCGGCTCCCCGGGGCCCGGCGGCCCCCACCGCAGCGCGGCCGCCGTCACCTCCAGGCTCGGGTGCGAGTCCAGCCGCAGCTCGGCGGCGCCCGCGGGCGCCCGGCAGCGCAGGTCCAGCACCGCCGTGCCGCTCAGCGTGCGGCTGGCGAGCTCGGCCCGCAGGTCCAGGTGCAGGTGCAGGACCTCGAAGTCCCGGAAGCTGGACGCCGAGGCCACGTCCTCCACCCGTGCCGAGTGCAGCGCCCGCCGGCCCACGCCGCTGCCCGAAGCCCCGCCGCTCGCCATGGTGCCGGCGCCGACCGACTGCGGGGAAGCCGGCCCCGACCCGCCCGGAGCCCGCGGCCCGCCCCGCCCCGCGCGCACTGCGCAGCCGCGGCCACGCCCCCACAAGGCCCCGCCCCGACCACACCTTCCCCGCGGGACCCGCCCCGCGCGCACTGCGCAGCCGCGGCCACGCCCCCACAAGACCCCGCCCCGACCACACCTTCCCCGCAGGACCCGCCCCGAGCGCACTGCGCAGCCGCGGCCACGCCCCCACAAGACCCCGCCCCGACCACACCTTCCCCGCGGGACCCGCCCCGAGCGCACTGCGCAGCCGCGGCCACACCTCCCGCGCGGGCCACGCCCCCGGGGACCGGCTGGCCACGCCCCCTCCGGCAATCTGAGCCGGGACCACACCCCAGGCCGGAGTTTTTCATAAAAGGAAACAGTATTCCATCATGTTGTCCAATGTCCCAGGGTCAAAATACTTTTTATTTTATGCAATGCTTGTTGGCTTTTTAAAAACTCCATATAAGGCCACTTTCTCTCTTTGGTGGTGGTTAGTGGCTTCGGAAGGCTGTGGCGTTGATCACAGAGCTTGGTGCCCACCAGGCGTTCAACGCCCGCCTGGAAACGACCCCTTCTCTGAGGGAAAGCGCTTCTGTGCACACGCACCGCGCCGCAGCCCCGAGGCCGGTGCTGGGGACCAGGCTCCTGACCCCGCACAGAGCCGGCTGGGCAGCGCCCGGGAGGGACAGAGCACTGTGGGGGCCCCGGGGACAGACCCCGGCATGACCACCCGCCTCTCCCCACACGGCCCTCACTGCTCTGTACCTGTAAACGCCCAGAACGTCACACACCTGGGACATTTCACAATGAAGGGCTGGAGACCTTCCAGAATTGATGAAAAGCATGAGTTCATAGAGGTCACAGGATACAATACAGAAAATCAATCGCAGTAACCAACGGTATTTCTACCTAATGAGATTTGAAAAGCACCCTTCCAACAGCACCCTCAAGAATGAAACGCCTAGGTATAAACCTAATAAAATATTGTGTGTGGGATGTTTGTGCTAAAAATGAGGACACATTGACAGAACTTAATTCCGCCGAAACCGGTTTGGCTCAGTGGTACAGCGTCGGCCTGCGGACTGAAGGTCCCGGGTTCGATTCCGGTCAAGGGCATGTACCTTGGTTGCGGGCACATCCCCAGTGGAGGGTGTGCAAGAGGCAGCTGATCGATGACTCTCTCTCATCCATGTTTCTAACTCTCTCTATCCCTCTCCCTTCCTCTCTTTAAAAAAGTCAATAAAATATATTTTTGTAAACAAAAAAACAAAACTTAATTCCGATAAAATCCCAGCAGGTTTTCTGCAGACGCTGCCGAGCTCATGGTGAAATCTGGGAGGATTGGGAAGGAGGAGCCACAGCTGAGAGAGAACACAGGCAGAGGGAGGCTTCTGCTGCCCAATTCCCAAACCTACTGCAGTGCCTGCGGGGCAAGGGTGGCTGGACAGACAGAAGCCACGGCGGCCCCGATTCACAGTCACTGAGCGCCTGTGTCACCCGCTCCTGCATCGGCACTGCACAGCTCCCTCCTGCCCGCCATCCTCCCTCCCCGCCCCCACGGGCTACGGCTCAATTTCAGGCTCTGCTCCTGAGCAAGGAACCCACAGGCCAGTGTGCGGCTCCTGCAGGGCCAGCGCGGGAAGCTCCCCTCTTCCTCCTTTTCCGGCTCCCGCTCCCCCCCCCCCCCCCCCCCCGTTCCAAAACCAAAAAACTCACTTGTGCCCAAGGCTGGCTCAGACACGCAGAGCTGAAGACGCAGTGAACCAGTAAAATGGGGAAACGTGCGCATCCCCCGCCCCCGCTCCCCCTCCTCCCCCCTGCCAGGATCCATTCCGAGGGAACGCACTGTCTGACCCTCGGTGGCCGTCGGGGGTTAGGCCTGGACCAGGCTCCGCATTCCCGCCCTCGCCCTTTAAGCCGCTCTCCTCCGCCCCGGCCCCGCGGGACCCCCTCGGAACGCCAAGAGCTACAGACGGACAACAGACACGCACACGCCAGCAAGCGCAGACCCGCAGCCACGAGGACGCAGACCAAAGGCCAGAGACAGCCCCTCGCCCCTCTGGCTGGCTACGTTTCTGGGAAAGGAGAGAAAGCGCTGGCAAGGAGGTGGAAACCGGAGCCCCCGGCGTAGCTGCTGGGGACGCGGTGAATAGAGATCGGACGCCGGGAAACCTGCTCGGGCGCCGGGCTGGCCCGGGGGAGGCCGGCTCTGGGAGGGGGGGTCAGCAGCCTCCCGGGGGGAGCGTGGCCTCACCCGGCCGGCCAGGGCACCCGCTGCGGAAGGACCCGGCGGCCTACACACACACACACACACACACACACACACACACACACACACACAGGGGCGAGCTGGCGGGGGAAGGCAGAGCCTGGGGCTTACGAAGAAGGAGCAGGCTCCGGGGTTTATTGTTGGACTGAGAGCACACGGGCGGGCGGGCGGGCGTCCCCGAGGACACAGGTGGCGGCCCCGCTGCCCGCTGAGCCCCGTGGTTCCTGCCCCTTCGTAAAGGCGTCAGACACCTGCTGTGATCACCAACGCTCTCCAGGGCGAATAAATAGTGGGCTATCACCCCCCCACCCCGAGTTCCTTTCAATAGGAAAAGGCTGCTGTCTCTGGTGGCCTCCAGCCGGGAACGGGCGCGCCGGGCCGCGCCTGCCCGCGCCCTGGCGGAGACGTCCTACTGGAACTGCCGGTAGTCTGCGAACGGCGAGGACGGCAACGGGGCGGCGGGCAGCTGGGAGGGGTCGTCGACAAACGGAGGCCCTGCAGGGCAGAGGGGGGAACGTTGACCCGTGAGCTCGCGCGGGAAGAACAAGCCCCCGGGAAGGGAAGCCCCCCCGTGCGCCGACACAGGGTCACTCCCTCCCCCCCCCCCCCCCCCCCCGGTCCCTCAGAATACCTTCCCCCGAGAGCCCATGGGGCCTCGGATGGGAGTCCCTCCCCCCTCCCAGCTCCACAGCCAGGCAAACGCGTCTCCTTTAAAGGCTGGGGGGCCGTTCCCAGCGCCCGGGCGCCGGGGGAGGGACACTCACCGTTGGGGAACTGCGCGGAGGCAAAGCGCGTCAGCAGGATGCCCGCTCCCTCGATGAGGGCCAGCAGGATGCCGCCCATGGCAGCCGAGCCCACCATGGCCACCGGCCCGTCTGGAACACGGACGAGAGGCCACGTCAGCGGAGCGCTGGCTCACGGCAGCCGTGGCGAGGGCAGAGCAGTCCACGGGCCGCCCCCCGCCCCCCCGCCCCTGCCCTCGCCCTCTCGCCGCCACGGCCGGGCCAACTGCCCCACCAGCTCCCTGCCCGTCCGTGTCAACGACCTCTCCCTCTCCTCCGGACCCTGTGCCCCCCCCCCCATTCCTGTGGTGGTGGTGGGGGGGCCTGCTGTCCCACGGCGATGGCTGAGCTGCACAGTCGACGCCCCCCCCCTCCACTCAGAGCCACAAAGCCTAAAACGTTTACCACCCGACCCCACAGACAGTGTGCCGACTCCCAAGGCCTGGCCCGAACCGTGGAGCCCAAGGGAGTCTGGGCTGTGCTGTGCCAGCTCAGGCGACGCCCGTTTCTCAGCCTCCGGGCGCCAGTCAAGCGAGCGCTTACTTCTGGCGGCCAGGATGGCTCCCGTCAGGGCCCCGCTGCTGATGGAGTTCCAGGGGTCCTCCTTGCCTCGCACCTGCACCAGGCTGCAGTCGATCATGGAGAACAGGCCGCCCCACACCGCAAAGCTGCCTGTTCACGTCCAAACAGAACAACCCGGGTCTCGCTTTTCATCTTATAAAGTGTCATCACACACACACACACACACACACACACACACACACACACACAAAATGTTCCGCCCTCGCCGGTGTGGCTCAGTGGGCGGAGCTCCACCTTCTCGTAGGCAGAACCGTCCGGGCCCACGCGGGACGCCTGCCTCCTTACCTCCCAGCGGCGGGGCCCTGGTTTTAATGGCCGTCAGGCTCCCCCGCAGCCTGTGGCTCACTCCCTGCGGAGAAGCAGACACACGTGTGTTCAAAGGGCCGTCCGGGACCCGGGCAGCACGCCCAGGGCTCGGGCGGGCGGCGGCGGCGACGGCGACGGCGACGGAACGGGACCCCGGCTCACCGCGGGAGAATTGCGAAAGCCTTTGACCGCCTGGAAGATGCCGCCGCCGATGGTGCCCATGGTGAAGGCCCCGCCACAGTCGTCCACAATCCGCCAGGGGCTGGGGGGCGGGGAGAGGAGAGGAGGAAAAGGGGAGATCTTACCTCTGGTTCCCGTCCATGAACCTCAGGGCGTCTCTGCTAACACCGCAGGGTGCCCTGCGACCAATACGCAGTCTCACGTGTCCGGCCCCAAGTCACCTGAGCCGGGAGCCGCGGAGCCGGCTCCCGCGCGCGTTACGGGGTGTGCCCGTGGGTGATGCGGATTTTCCCCCAACAGATGGAGTCACACGTGTGTTGATGCGTGTGCGATTTGACAGTGCGTGTTTTGTCGTATTGCTCCTTCAGATGCCCCCTTGTTCCAATGGCTCACGCACTTTCTGAGCAGCCCTTCAAAACTTACTAAGTTGGAAACGGAGTCTCTGAATAGTCTGCCTCAAAACAAGGAAAGTTCTATTGGGACGGTACCCACAAAAGACCTGGAAGATGGGGGGGAACATATAGCTAGCGACGGACATTACTTTGAACAAAGCACCTTTAAAAAAAAAAAAAAAAAGTATTTCTTTTTCTTTTTAAAAATATACATTTTCTTTATTTTTTTACAGAGAGGAAGGAAAAGGGATAAAGAGCTACTAGGTCCATGCCCTTGACCGGAATCGAACCCGGGACCCTTCGGTCCGCAGGCCGACGCTCTATCCACTGAGCCACACCGGCTGGGCCAAGAATGTCCGTTATGGTCATTGCCTCTGACAACCAGGGACGCGCTAGCCACCGAGCCAAACCAGCCGGGGAGAACAGAGCACTTTCGATGTCTCTCTTGCAAAGAATTCTCATGCTTTCTCTGATGACAAAACCCGAATTATTAACCGGCACATTTTTAACCGTTACACCTAGTCCTCATTCATTCAACAGAAGCCGGGGTGTGGGGGAGCCCCTGCCAAAGCCAGGAGACCCTGTACAATGTAAGTGTCATATTACCCTCAGGAAGGTGGCCCCTCCAGCCCTGACAGGGGGCAGCAGAGTCACCCCAAACAAGGGGGTTTCCCACTCAGGACCCCAGGAGCCTTCAACGTGGGCCCTCTGCGGGGACCTCCCCGTGTGCCTGCCTTCCTCCTGCTCTCACCCTGAGCCTAACAAAACCCCTCCCTCCGTGACTGCCGAGTGCATGAATGAGGGAATGAGTGAGTGAATGAGGGAATGAGTGAGGGAATGAATGAGTGAGTGAGTGAGTGAATGAGTGAGAGAATGAGTGAGGGAATGAATGAATGAGTGAATGAGAGAATGAATGAATGAGAGAATGAGTGAATGAATGAGTGAGTGAGTAAATGAGTGAGTGAGTGAATGAGTGAGTGAGGGAATGAGTGAGTGAATGAGTGAATGAGTGAGTGAGGGAATGAGTGAGTGAGGGAATGAATGAGTGAATGAGTGAGGAAATGAGTGAGTGAATGAGTGAGTGAATGAATGAGGGAATGAGTGAGGGAGTGAATGAATGAGTGAGTGAATGAATGAATGAGGGAATGAGTGAGTGAATGAGAGAATCTCCCTTCGGGGTAAAATCGTGGGAAATGCCGGCCCGGCGGGCAGGCATCGCGACCCCAAAGCCAGGAACGGCGCCCGGGACCAGGGATGCGCCCAGGGTGACCTCGGCGGCGGCGGGGCAGGTGTGACCCCCCCACAAGGTCGGGGCGGGGCAGGTGTGGCCCCCTCACATGGCCGGGGCGGGGCAGGTGTGACCCCCACAAGGCCGGGGCGGGGCAGGTGTGACCCCCACAAGGTCGGGGCGGGGCAGGTGTGACCCCCCACATGGCCAGGGCGGGGCAGGTGTGACCCCCACAAGGTCGGGGCGGGGCAGGTATGACCCCCCCAAGGTCGGGGCGGGGCAGGTGTGACCCCCCACATGGCCGGGGCGGGGCAGGTGTGACCCCCCCCAAGGTCGGGGCGGGGCAGGTATGACCCCCCCAAGGTCGGGGCAGGGCAGGTGTGACCCCCCCAAGGCCGGCGCGGCCCGGGGGGGCGGGTCCCCGAGGCTCCCCCCGCCCAGGCCCGGACCGCGCCCCGGGCCACCGCAAGGTCACGGGGGCGGGGCGCGGCGTGCGGGAGGCCCGCGTGGGGGAGCCGAGCGGCCGCTTCCGCCCGCGGCTCCCGGGCCGGCGGCGTCGCCCCGGGAGCCTGGGAGGCCGAGGAGGGCGGCGGGCGGCCGGCAGGGCCAGGCGAGGAGGACGCCGTCCACTCACCAGGGCTCCCGCGCGTACTCCTCCATCTTCACTCGGGCGCGCGAGCGACGCCGGGAGAGCGGGGCAGGCCGTGAACCGGAAGCGGAAGTGCCACGGCGGAGGGCGTGAAGGCCTGCGGGGGTTGGCTCACTGCTTCCGAAGCGCAGCCAATGGGAACGCGGGAGAGTGCAGCTGGCCCCGCCCAGGTTCCCCCAGGCGGCGGGTGTGGGAATGCGGGGCGGAAGTTTCCCGTCCCCGAGGCTGGGGGTCCGGAGGGAAGCGTTGGGTCTTCTCGCTGAGGTTGGGGCTCACCAACGCCCCAATACGCCCCCTTTCAGCTCGAATGAAAGGGGCGCCTGATCGGCTCGACCGGATCGCGAAGCTCTCGCCGCCGGCACGCAGCCCTAGGGCCCCGGGCCTGGAGCGGGGCGAGGGGACCGCCCCGGCGGGCGAAGCGCGCGGACCGGGAGGGATCCCCCCGGGGGCTCGACGGCGGGACGGCGACCCCAGTCTCTGCCGGGCCTCCCTCCAGGGTACCCCGGAAGCCGTGATCGGGGACCCAGCGCCCCCTAGTGGCCGCGGACCGGCCTCGCTCATCCAGGCCGCATGCAGCCTGGAGATGGACTGAGGACGTTCATCTGGGATAACGGGGGGGGGGGGGGAGGGGGGGGAAGGCCGCCCCCCACCCTACCCCCTCTCCCGCAGCCGGAAATCCGAGTGTAGCTTAGGGTCCCCCCCCCAACGTCATTGCGGAGAGGGTCCTGCGGGCCGGAAGCCACGCGCTCTGTGTGTCCTGGGTGCTCTGCTCCGGAGCTGGAGGGCAGGAAGCCTCATGAGAAAATCGTGGGGCCCTGGCCGGTGTGGCCGAGTGGATAGACCGTCGGCCTGCGGACTGAAGGATCCTGCGTTCGATTCTGGTCAAGGGCACTCGCCCGGGTTGCGGGCACATCCCCAGTTGGGGTCTTGCAGGAGGCAGCCGATCCATGATTCTCTCTCATCGTGGATGTTTCTCTCTCCCTCTCCTTTCCTCTCTGCCATCAGTAAAAATCTATTTTTTTAAAAAAATCGCGGGGAGAGGAGGTAATTGGCAGCACCTGGTGTCTCCATCATTGATGTAATGGGAGAGGCATCGCCTCCATCAGCGTCACCCCAATGTGGCCTTCGGGGGATGTGCCAGAGAGTCACCCACAAGTGATGGAGAGGTTCAGGAATCCTTCTTCCCAGCCAGACACCTCCCCCCACCCCACCCACCACTCAGGGAGAAAAACCCGGTCGCCCTAGCCGGTATGGCTCAGTGGATAGAGCGTGTGCCAGAGGACTGAAGGGTCCCGGGTTCGATTCCAGTCCAGGGCATGTACCTTGGTTGCGGGCACATCCCCGGTGGGGGGTGTGCAAGAGGCAGCTGGTCAATGTTTCTCTCTCATCGACGTTTCTAGCTCTCTATCCCTCTCTCTTCCTCTCTGTGAAAAAATCAATAAAATATATTTAAAAAATAAAAACAAAAAAGTAAACACACACCCACACACCCACAAAACACACACACACACACACAAACACACAAAACACACACAGAAAACCCCAATTGTCATGGACAAGGCTCACCCACAGGCAGCTCTAGAGTTTGGGGCTCCAGTCTGGGGGGGGGTGGGGTTCTCTCCTCTCTTCTGCCTTCGTGTCACCCCACTTCCTGCATTCAGTGACCGCACACCCCTTCCTGCAGGCAGGTCCTGGTGACCCCCTCACTGCCCACGCCTCGGGCTCAGAGACGTGAGAAGGCGCGCGAGGTCACACACCTCAGACCTGAGCCCAGGTCATTCGACTCCGGAGCCCGGGCCTTCTCTCCTTTCCTGCACCCCCCACCCCCTTTCACAGGCCAAAGCCAGTCTCTGAGGGGAAGGTGACTGGCCCAGAGTCAAGGGGCTGGTCAGCAGCAAAGCCAGGACCTGACACAGGTTGGTCGCCGAGAAAGGCCACGCTTTGGGTTCTTGTTGTGGTAAAGCTGGTGTAGAAGGTTGTCTACACTTCAGCCCTGACCGGTGTGGCTCAGTGGATAGGGCGCCGGCCTACGGACGGAAGGGTCCCAGGTTCGATTCCGGTCAAGGACATGGATCTTGGTGGCAGGCACATCCCCAATGGGGGGGGGGGGGTGTAGGAGGCAGTTGATCAATGTTTCGCTCTCATCCATGTTTCTAACTCTCTATCCCTCTCCCTTCCTGGCCCTGGCTGGATTGGCTTGGTGGATAGAGCATCTGCCTGAGCACTGAAGGGTCCTGGGTTCGATTTCAGTCAAGGGCACCTGCCTGGATTGTGGGCTCCATCCCCTGTGGGGGGCGTGCAGGAGGCAGCTGATCCATGGTTCTCTCTCATCCTTGATGTTTCTCTCTCCCTCTTCCTTCCTCTCTGGAATAAAAAAAAAAGTTAAAAAAAGATTATCTACACTTCAGGGGCACATTATCATTCTTTAAAGTTATTTCTAAATATATTTTCATTGATTTCAGAGAGAGAGAGAGAGAGAAACATCCACGATGAGAGAAAACCGTGGATCAGCTGCCCCCTGTACGCCCCCCACTGGAGATGGAGCCCAAAACCCTGGCATGTGCCCTTGACGGGACCGAACCCAGGACACTTCAGTTCGCAGGTCGATGCTCTGTCCACTGAGCCACACCGGCCAGGGGCCACAGGGATGTGGTAGCATCCCCGGCCTCAGACGTGGCCCTGGCCTCCACAGGCCTCTGTCCCCGCCTCCCCCCCGCCCGCCGTCCCCCCTCCCAGCACCCGCCGCCTCGGCCTCCACCGGGAGCTGGGCTGCGGGCAGAGGGGGCTCCGGCCCGGCTTCGCCCTGGCCCATCGATCGATCCCGGGACCCGCCGGCAGGGCCGCCCCGGGGGCCGCGCTCGGCTCGGGTGGCCGGACGCCAGGAAACAGGCAGCGCCTGCCCGATGGGTTACAGCGGCTTCTCGCCGGAGATTGGATGTCGGCGGCCGCCTCGGCGTGAGGGACCGCCGTGGAGAGCCCGCTGCAACCGGATCCTCCCGGTTATGTTTCCCCGAAGCCGCCGGGGAAGCGTGCTCTGGACGGGGACGCGGTGGCCACCTGCCCCTGCTCCCTTCACCCGCCCACTCCCCCACCCCACCCCGCCCGCTCCCCTCACCCCACCCCGCCCGCTCCCCCACCCCACCCCACCCACTCCCGCCCCCACCCGCTCCCCCCACCCCCCTCCCCGCTCCCCCCACCCCCACCCACTCCCACACCCCACCCACTCCCGCCCCCACCCGCTCCCCCCACCCCCCTCCCCGCTCCCCCCACCGCACCCGCTCCCCCCACCCCACCCCGCCCGCTCCCCCACCCCACCCACTCCCGCCCCCACCCGCTCCCCCCACCCTCCTCCTGCTTCCCCCACCCCACCCGCTCCCACACCCCACCCCACCCGCTCCCCCCACCCGCTCCCCCACCCACCCCACTCCCTGAGAAAACCCCCCAGACGCGGCCGGAGCAGGGAGAAGCCGAGGGAGGGAGGTCTGAACCCCCTTCCCAAGAGCCGGGGCTTCCTGGAAACAGAACTGATGGCCCTTTAGGACGCTCCTGCCTGCAACCCTCTTTTAAAAAAAAATATATATATATATTTTTTTTTTATTGATTTTTTCCAGAGAGGAAAGGAGAGGGAGAGAGAGCCAGAAACATCGATGAGAGAGACACATCCATCCGCTGCCTCCTGCACGCCCCCCGCCTGGGGATGTGCCCGCCACCGAGGTCCATGCCCTTGGCCGGGATCGAACCTGGGACCCTCCAGTCCGCAGGCCGAGGCGCTGTCCGCGGAGCCGCACCGGTTTCGGCCTGCACCCCTCTCTCCTCCTCCCCCCCACGGCCGGCCCGCTCGGGAGGGCTTACGGCTCTCCCTCCGGGAGCCGCTGGAGGCCCTGGGGCTCCGATGCTCGCACCCTGGTTGGCGGGGACGATGGCAGGCAGGATCCTGAATGGAATGTGTTTCCTGGGGCTGCAAAGAGCTGGGCACCCCCCCCCTTCCACCGCCCCCGCCCCCCAGGACCAAACACAGGGGGAAGGGTCAGTGGCCCGGTCCGACCACAGGGCATCCGGCAGCCCGGGGGCGGGGGGGGGTGGGGTGACACAGGCCTCGAACCCCGCCCCCCGCGGCTCCTCGCCGGGCTGGGCCTGAGGCCGCGCTGCGTTTTTGCCCCTTTTCCTCCTCGCGGCTTGTCTTTAAAAGGCTAAATGCTCCACACTAAATTTGGTCACACCGCGGCCGGCCGCTCCAAGATTCCCTGGAATGTCCTCAAGTTTCAGCTCTGACGGGCGGTGGGCCCGCCCCCGCCCCCCCCCGGCCCCCCCTGCCTCCCTCCGGGGGATTGGCTGGGCCTCGGGGCCGGCCGGGCTCATTGGCTGCTGGCAGGCGGCTGGTCCACACGCCCGGCCGGCCGGGAGGCTCACCCAGCACCTGCCCAGAGGAGCCCGGTCCTCGGTCCTCAAGCCGAGCCGCGGGGGTCTCTCCCACGCCCCCAGCCCCGTCCGGACCCTCCCGCCCCGCCCACAGCGGCTCCCCCCCCCAGCCCGGCCCCGGCCCCCCAGGAGCCGCCAAGATGTCCAAGGTGGCCAAGTACCGCCGGCAGGTGAGCGAGGACCCCGACATCGACAGCCTGCTGTCCACACTGTCGCCCGAGGAGATGGAGGAGCTGGAGAAGGAGCTGGACGGGGCGGACCCCGACAGCAGCGTGCCCGTGGGGCTGCGGCAGCGCAACCAGACCGACAAGCCGTCCACGGGCGCCTACGACCGCGAGGCCATGCTCAGCTTCTGCGAGGAGACCACCAAGAAGCTCATCCGCAGGGAGCTGTCCCTGGACGTGGACGTGAGTGCGGGCCACGGGGCCACGGGGGGCCATGGGGAGGCCACAGGGAGGCCATGGGGGCCACGGGGCGGGAGCCAGGGCTACGGGGCCATGGGGGGCCACGGAGGGGGCCACGGAGGGGGGCCACGGTGGGCCATGGGGAGGCCACAGGGAGGCCATGGGGGCCACGGGGCGGGAGCCAGGGCTACGGGGCCATGGGGGGCACTCCCAGGACGGACGGTTCCAGGAGGACGTTCCCTGAGCCGGGTGGGACTCACTGGTGCCGGGGTCCGCAGGGAGGGCAGTGATGCATCAGAGAGTCAGAGGGGCTGCAGGGGGGCCCTGAGCGTGGCCCCCACACCCGTGGGCTCCGTCACGCGCCCTCTCGCGGTGCGGGCAGGAAGGACAGGTGTGGGGTGATGGAGGCATCACCTCCCTCTCTCCCTCCCTCCCCGTCCTCGGCCTGGTCCTCGGCCTGGTCCTCGGCCTGGGAGTCCTGGTCCCTCCATCCTCCATCCTCGTCCGGCTGCTCCCCGGGGGGACCCAGGCCCAGGCCTCTCCCCGCCCCCCGAGGCTGTGTCCTCCAGAGGAGAGGAGGGCGGTGTTTGCAGTGGCCGCAGCCCTGACCACAGCGAGGGAGGAGGGGCGAGGGGGAGGGGCGAGGGAGGAGGGAGGGGCGGGGGCGGCCGAGGCGGCTCCGGCACTGCCCCCCCCCGGGACCTGGTTAAGGTTAGGAGGTCGGGAGGTGGGGGACCCGGGAGGCTCGGGGCTCAGGGTCCTCTGACCGCGACCGGCAAATTCCAGACCGTTTGCAGGGAAATGAGGGGCACAGGGGCCCGCCATGGGGCTCCCCGGGAAGCAGAGAAAGGAAGGAGACGCCCCCAAAGGCGCTGGCACCTGTGAGCGCCCGGAGGGCCCCCCTCCGTCCTCCTCACTCTGTGCCCTCGATGCCGACGCCCAGTGCTCCTGGGCCGGCTGAGCTCAGACACACACACACACACACACACATTCACACGCCACATACACACATGCACACACATGCCATACCCACACTCACACTCACACACACATTCACACGCGCGCGCACACACACGCACACTCACACATACACATACGCGCATACATGCCATACTCACACGCACACTCACACGCCACACATACACACATGCACTCACACGCCACACACACACGCCATACACACACTCACGTGCCACACATACACACACGCCACACATGCCATACTTACACACGCCACACACACACCATACTCACACACATGCGTGCACGCATACACTCACACACATACACTCACACTCTCACACACATGCACACGCCACACACACATGCACACACGCTTAATCCCGCCAGGGGCTGTGAGGGCTGCTCTGGGGGTGAATTCCCAGCCTTTCCCTCAGCCAGACCCACGCTCCCCCCACACACACCCCGCTCCCCCCCACTTGTTTACGCCCACGGAGCCGGCAGGGAGTGCGCACGCGTGTGCTCACGGCACCCCTCCAGGCCACTCCCCCCCGCCCCCCCGTGGCGGTGTCTGTGCTCCCCCATCCCAGGGCCTGTGAGGGTGCATCCTGAGCCCCGGGCAGGGTCCTCTCGGAACGTGGGGTGAAGGGGGGTGAACCCCACATGGCCGGTGTGAGCAGCAGCCGGGCGGTCTGTGTAGCCACCCACGGGCCCCTGCCCGCTCCGTCTCCCGGGACAAAGTGCCCGCCTCAGGGCTGTCAGCTTTGGGGCTGGTAGGAGGGGCGGGCTCTGAGCCGGGGTGCAGTGGGCACCCCGTGACCACCGCCCCGAAACCACCAGGTCCCCGGAGGCCAGGCCCAGAAGTCGGGGAGCGAGCGAGAAGCAGATCTACCCCCCACCTCCCTGCCCGGTCCCTCAGGCCGGTGCACGCCCAGCGAGCTGCTCCCCGCCTGGCCAGAGTAAAGTGGGGGGCGGGGGGCTCTCTCGGACCCGCCCTGGGCTCCCCAAAGGAGCTGGGGGTGGATCAGAACAGCGAGGCCACCCCCGCGGGTGCGGGGGGGCGTTTACGGGGAGCCTGTGTGCACCCCGCACCCCTGCCTTCCCTCTGTGTGAGCCGCACAGATCCTGGGAAGCAGGCAGGTCATCCCATTACACAGAGGGGGAAACCGAGGCGCCCGGAGGGCGAATGGCAGCCGCGTGTCCTGTCTCGTCTGGTCGGCGGCTGCAGCGAGCCTGGCCCGTCCCCCAGGGCGAGGGGCGGACGGTTAACCGGTTAACCGGGGGTGGGTTAAACTAACCGGGGTTGGGTTAAACTAACCGGGTGTGGGTTAGACTAACCGGGTGTGGGTTAGAGGTTAACATGAGTAACACCGGGGCGGGTCAGGCAGCCGGCCTGACTGGGCACCGGGGCAGGGGGCACTGGGCTCATTCCTCGCAGGTGGTGTGCCCGGCATCGGCTGGTGTGGATCTCTCACTGGTGGACAGGGAGCAGGAAGAGTTCCTGGAAGACCAGGCAGGGGGGCGGGGCTGGGTTAGGGCCGTGGTCGGCAAAGTGCGGCTCTTTGGCCCTTGAGTGCTTAGCAGAGGTCAGCTGAGGAGCCCCCGTTCAGTTCACAGTAATGTGCCTACCACACAGTTTCCCTTTGAAGATCGGGGCTCTCCAAAGAAATGGCCGTCGCTGGACGGCGGGTATCTGGCTCTGCCGACCCCTGGGTTAGGGAATCTGCTTAAAACATAATGAGGAAGTGGGGGGCGTGGAGGGGGGGCGTGGAGGGGGGCCCACCCCACAGGGCACCCACCTTCCTGATGGTAGGCACCTCTGCGCTCGCTCTCTCTCTCGCTCTCTCTCGCTCTCTCTCGCTCTCGCTCCTGCCTTGTTGAGTGAAGGTCAGGGGTCACGGCGAGGGGCGGGCCGGGCAGAGCTGACCCGCCCTCCTCCCTCTGACGGCGGCTCCCTCCCCTGTGGGGCCGGGCCTCCCTCAGGTGGAGGCCGAGCCGGCAGGTGGGCAGCCGCGGCCCTGGCTCAGGTTTCGGGAACTGGATCCCCAGAGCCTGTGTCAACTCCTGTCCTCCCCCCAGACTCCTCCCCGCTCCTGCCTCCACCCCTCCCCCCTCCCCCCGGGGGTCCCCCCTCCCCCCGGGACCTCCACCCCTCCCCCCGGGCCTCCCCCCTCCCCCCGGGGCCTCCCCCCTCCCCCCGGGGCCTCCCCCCTCCCCCCGGGGCCTCCCCCCTCCCTCCCGGGCCTCCACCCCCGGGGCCAGAGCCTCACCCCCAGAGCCTCCATCCTGCTCCTGCCTCCTTCCCCGGGGCCTCCACCTCCTCCTTCCCTGGGGCCTCCCCCCCCCCCCGGGGCCAGAGCTCCCCCGGGGCGCGGGGTGGTCAGCAGGCGGAGGCTCTTTAGGGGCCCACGGTGAAGGGGGGGTGAAGGGAGTGGGAGGGGATGGGGGGCACTTGAGAGATCCCCCTGGGCCAGCCTCCTGACCTTCCTCCCCCGCCTGCCCTGGTCATGCCCAGCACCCACGAATCCCTGCAGGGAGGGGGGCCACAGGGATGGGGGGCCACAGGGAAGGGGGGGCCACAGGGATGGGGGGCCACAGGGATGGGGTAGCACAGGAATGGGGGTGTCGGGTTAGGGTTGCCGGGGGAGGGGTGCCGGGAGGAGGTGCAGCTCTCGCCCTCAGACTGCCCTCTGCAGGGTCCATGGGCGCTGGGCAGCTCAGCCCTCGGTTTAGGGGATTAACCGCCTGCTGCGCCCAGAATAGCCTGGAGAGGGGGGCGGGGGGCAGAGAGGGGGAGGGGTGGGGGCAGGGGGGGCAGAGAGGGGGAGGGTGGGGCGGGGGGGCAGACAGGGGGAGGGTGGGGGCAGGGGGGGCAGAGAGGGGGAGGGGTGGGGGCAGGGGGGCAGAGAGGGGGAGGGTGGGGCGGGGGGGCAGACAGGGGGAGGGGGGGCAGGGGGGGCAGAGAGGGGGAGGGGTGGGGGCAGGGGGGGCAGAGAGGGGGAGGGGTGGGGCAGGGGGGCAGAGAGGGGGAGGGTGGGGCGGGGGGGGCAGAGAGGGGGAGGGTGGGGCGGGGGGGCAGACAGGGGGAGGGGTGGGGCAGGGGGGGCAGAGAGGGGGAGGGTGGGGCGGGGGGGCAGAGAGGGGGAGGGGTGGGGGCAGGGGGGGCTTTATCACCCATTTCCACCCCGTTTGCTCTGCTCGGGTTCTAGGGGATTGCCATCCCCGCTGCGGGAGCGCGCGCTGTGACGTCATTTCTGCTGGAGCGTGCGTGCGGTGTGACGTCATTTCTGTTGGGGCGTGTGCGTGCGCTGTGACGTCACTTCTGCGGGGCGTGGACCTGGGGGGTGGCCGGGCCCTCGGAGGCGATGGTGACGCTCCTGTCTCACCTGCAGAGGCCATGCTGCCTCATGGGGAGCGGGGGGGGGGGGTGTCGGGGGGGGGGGTCAAGTGCGTCCGTGTGAGGTCAGCGCCTTAGCTGACGGGGCCTCACCTCACCGCCAGGGGCGCCCTCTCTCGGGGCCGGGGAGCCGCCGCTGTCCTCACCCCTCTGTTCAGAGGTGACACTCTCCGGGCCGGCGTGGCTCAGGGGCTGAGCGTCCTCCTGTGAACCCGGAGGTCAGGGTTCGATTCCCGGGCTGGGCACAGGCCGCGGGGCCATGGGCTCCATCCCCAGTCGGGGTGCGTGCAGGAGGCAGCCGGTCCCTGAGTCTCTCTCCTCATGGATGTTGCTCTCTCTCTCCCTTTCTCTCTGAAATTAATTTTAAAATATTTTTAAAAAAATGTTAAAGGTGACACTGGACTCAACAAAGCCCAGGTCAGACCCTCTGCCCAGGGCTGGACCTTCCCGGAAGGGGGTGGGGAAGGCGTGCCCGCCTCCTGCCTCCCATCCCAGCCACGCCCACGCCCGCGCCCGAGGACAGACCACTTTCCTGCTTAGCTCCTGTCTCGCTTGTCCTCAGCCTCAGCCTCAGGCCTCCTGCTTAGACTCCCTTTCCTCCCCCCCACCCCCCCACCCCGGCCTGGAGGAGCCCCAGCTGGACAGG